GATCAGATGTATGATATGCGAGGCTTCCATGTCACCACACATCTATCCGTTCTCTATTAAACGTGACTCCAACCACTGACTGGTTTTATGACTAATTTTGTTTGGATCACTTTACTGATTGACAGACCTATAATAAGGTATTTAAATGTTACTGTACTCATTGTTTCACGAGTTGATTCATCGGTATCAAGTGTCCAAGAAAATGGTGACCTATGAAAAGTAGATAAACTATGTCTGTGTTAATATCTTCTACTTGATTTGAAATCTATAAGCGCTGATTCAGTCAAGTCATCGTAGGCTTTTGTTGAGAAGTGGATAGTGTTTTGTACACTGTAGCGATTAACAAGCTGTGAATCTTAGTACAGACTCGAAAAAGTCAAATTGAGATTACTCCACAGTTTTTTATCTAATCACAGTATATGATGTTTCTAATGCCAATAGAATTTACAATCGGACATATTAAGATTGTTTCGTTAACTGGTCAATGACTTGGAAGGTGAGACTATAAATTACGGACGACATTTCAGCGACGCCTTGATGACCTTGAAGGTGTCCACCTACTTATTATGGCTACATAATAGTTACAAAGCAGTTTGAATAATAAGGGTTATGATTTACTATTGATGGTTTTCACCACGAACTGACATCAACTAAAATGCCAAAACGCCATTTAGACAAATGGGTGAATGAAATCCGTGCCAAAATCCAAGACTTCTCATCCTGAATCTGATTGGTTCGTCCATAAATTATAGTCCCGCCATTCGGATGATATTAAATAGGCATGCCCTCATATTGAGCTCAACATGTATACAAAACGTTGTTCAGAGTGATTTGTATTCAGTAGGTTGGTTAGAGTAAAGAATGAACAAAAGGAAACTTAATAGGCATTCAGTAGAACTTGGAGACTTTGTTGAAGCAAATGCTGATTATATAAAATTTCATGGAAAACAAACCTATGAAAGCTATAATATTTCGACTAAGTTTGACGATTTACATGATCCGTATTCAGATATACTTATCAATGAATGAATTTATTTATAATTCAAGTATATAAAGTGGAAATAAGAAATGATGTCACGAATCTGGGAATTTTCATTCTTTTCTGCATAGGTGAATAAAAAATATAAGAAGCAGAAGAACTGACAAACTAATCGTCAATTGAGAAGAATTTCATATATCTCAATGCTATTTATCATCATAAATCGTCATCGGTAACATAAACGCCTACTACATCATCATAGGCGATTACAATTCGTACAGTGGTAACAAATGATTGCTTTTGTTATTAGCCTGGTATTAAGGTGTTCTACTGTGGTGTAAAGTTACATATTAGATTAGTAGGTCGAAAATCTAAACGAATTTAGTGTTGTAGATTTCGTGAGTTTTAAAGAAAATCATATGGTTGACGTATTCGCTGATTCAAATTAACCGTTCACATTTGAGTAATTCCCATCCTCATCGTGTAATAATTTGAAATATCATTCAATCAGTGCATAGTGACTTGAATATCACCAATCACGTTGTTCGGAGTAGATCAGTGTTTGGGTATCTGAAACTGGGATACTCGGATTTAAATCTCATGTGAATTGTTCATTTCTTCATGATTCCAAATACATCATATTGGCATACACTAAATACGTGAAAATCTACGTGCAAATCTTTTCAACGATTGTATACAATCATTTATTTGACAACATTATGTTATTTCTTTTGATTCCTCCATATTTGTAATTCGATTCGAAGCTTGAACAACCCAACGTTATAGCTACAAGTGATTAGAAGAAACATGTAATCTTGTAAATTAATATATAAGCTTCGGCCTGCACCTCATTCCGTATAGAAGAGCGACAAACTACCAGTGAGAAATTAAGGCTAACATGAAAGAGAAAAGAAACGTAGGTGAAGAGAAGTTATTCACGATTACATACAATTTGACCAGTAATAAGAGAACGTGGGGGGCAACTGAATGTGGAAGAGAACTGACACTGAACCGATGCATCATGTTTTCATTCAAGCTCAACTTATTCAATGATTGATTATCAAACAGAATCTGATCAAGTATACAAATCGGTCGACAAATACCAAATCACTTTCTTGTTACAATCTTCTTCTGTGATCTGGATCACTCAATCATTGGTGTCGAAGATAGTCAGTAACTTAGGTGTATCGATATACTTATGTGGTGTTTGATGTTCGATCATTGAAAGTAAATAATAGCAACATCAATCATCATAAACACTTTACATCATGTCAGTAGTTAACATCCATACTATTGAATGTTGACGAAGTGATGAATCGGAATTAGTTGATTAGCAGAATTGTAGTCACAGTATTTCGTTCTTTATCCCTGAGTGTAGATTAATATATATTACATGACTAGTTTATCAAACTGTAACAATTAAAGCACAACATATCACGAATATGAAATGTCAATTTATGCACATCCATACATGCAACATGTCTTCCGATATTCACTGTGTTCTACCAATAAGATGCAGTTTAGAACAGAAAACCTTAATCTCTGTCAATTGCTTTTCCGTACAAATGCAAGCAAACTTGAACATAGTTGTCAGTACTTTACTTGTATTGATATGTTTGGTGACTTGAGATAGTTGACAAGAAACACTGAACCTAGATTTGGTACCATACGGAGCTCTCTAGCAAAACGAACGTGTAATACTAAGGGATTGGGTTGACCCTAATAATTATGATGCTGTGACACTCGGCTTCATATTTTGAGGCGTTAGTATTGTGTTAATCAGATGAAACTGAGTATCTGTACTACTGATATATTTATAATTGATTGATCAATGCATAGTGTCTAATATCTTTTTTATGTATGCTATCGGGTTATTCACCGAGTCGTCAAGCCTCAAGTTATAATGTCCTTTTTCAATCTGCTCATAGGAGGAATAATTGTGATATGGGACCTTACAATTTTCAGGAATATTACGAAATTCTAACATTATAATTTAACCATTTGGAATTGTGTTCATTATGTAATATTTATATTATGCATTTCCGAAAAGCACCATCCACAGTATTGCATCTCAGTATATTTGAGCATTGGTGCTAAAAATTAGTGTCAACAAACAGTACAAATGTTAAATAAATATATACTCACTAATGACTTGCATTAAGATCGGTCTCAGGGTTCTACTGAACCAATGAGCTGATCAGATCCCATAATACTATATAGCATTCGTGACAGACCTGCAGTTGTTTGGCGTTCGAAACGTAAACCATAACATGCACATTCAGAGTTATCAATATATCACGTTACATCACACACCCGAAACATCTTAAGCATTGTAAAATTAGAGTGAAATATGTGGATTTAATACTGCGGTATCATAACTCTCTGCACTTTTTGGATTTATTCAAGCAGTGATACCTACCAACATAAACAAAATATCACGATTTACACAATAAATCATTATGTCAACACAAATTATATACAACTTCTATCACCAATCACCTCTAACTATTATTCTTGCTCACTTTATATTTAGAAAAACAAATACGAGGAAATCGTTTAACGTTGATTGTCATATCTAAATTAATGTTTATGCAAACGATCGCTCAGTACAACCAATTTCACCGACTAACAAATTATTTTGCGGCGTTGTGAAATCAACCTTGTAAATTCATCTACTGAATAGTGAATCAAGTAGTTTAGTTCTACATTTATACAAAAGCATTTGCTTGGATTACAAACTTCACGAAAACGTGATGTGATTTACACTGTAAAGCGAAAATCAAACATAGTTCACTTCCATTCTTATGACATTCATGGCACAAACACGAATATCATTGAAACTTAGTATTCTCACTGTTACCGACTACTAATCTACATTGCGATTGCTGAACTTACTAAAAATCCTTTTAGTTACTCACTCCAATCCCTAATCTAATACAAAGGATGGATGGATGAATAAATAGATAGATACTCACGACTGTATACAAAACACAATCATTACTCCTCGAAACCGATGCATCGTAGTGCAAAGTTATTTTATAATACAATCGATGTTTGAACGGTTTTGAACAGGCTTTAGTTTTGATAGATTGACTTATGTTTTGGCTTTCAGTAAACAGTTCGATTGATCTCCACCGTGTACCACTTTTTTATCAGTCCACATGAATTTCTTAATAGAATCATTCTAACAGTGTCGTCCTTACAACATACTGTATTCGTAGGACTTTTATTCTAATAATACTATCATTATCATTATTACTTTCACAACCAACTGATAGATAGATAAGGAAGATGGTTATAGTTCTAAGCTAAACAGAGGTTGAATAACTACTGAGAATGTGAAAGAGTTGGTGAGCAGTGTGAATACGGAACCACACAAATGAAGAATTTGATGGAATGTTGAAGTCCAAAAATGATGATTACAATACTCCAGGAGTGATTAAACTCCACCAGTCACAGTCTCTCACGAGAACCTCTCTCAGTTAGTTATGATCACCACTCAATAAAATAGTTTGTCCAGGTCTATTTAATTTGAATAATATTCACCATTAAACGTGAACAATTGCTTCCTATTACATTGAGTCACTTTAAACACCATTGTTAAAATAGTCAGGAAAGTATACCCTACTGTTCTAATGAGGAAGGGCTATTGAATACAGATTTGTAACTTGCTTTCATTACCATTATGCTCTTCATTGATATTGTTGTAATTGTAATAACGGTGATATAAAACAGACTGATAAGACATGCACTTCATGATTATGTTTGAGCCAATTGAAATCTGTGCCACTGCATATATATAATTATCTATATACCTACACACATATTTTATCTCTGAAGCCAAGCTACTAAACTCTCACTTCATTGCATTTTTAATGAGGTCAAAAGTATGACACTCTTGTTGATATAAATAGTGTCTGTTTTGAAATTAAAATTTACTATAAGAGGTAGCACTGTGAAAGCAATTAGTAAACGGCTACTCAATCTATCCGTATACATATTAGAAATCTTTTAGAAAATAATGATGTCTGAACATAAAGCAGTAGTGAAAAATGCCGATATGTCAGATGATATGCAACAAGAGGCTGTTGATTGTGCTGCACAAGCTTTAGAGAAATATAGTGTGGAAAAAGATATTGCAGCATTCATTAAGAAAGAATTTGACAAGAAATATAATCCTACATGGCATTGTATTGTTGGGAGAAATTTCGGAAGGTTAGTGATATTTTGTTATTCGACGTGATTATTTATTCATTATTGTGTAATCAATGTTATTCACTCACTATTTATGCCAATATATAAATCATTTGAAGTTATAATGCATAAGGAATTATGTAACTTTATTGGAACTCAATAGTATACATATAATTGGACTGTATTCATTTAACTATTTATTTAATCATTTTTATGTAATGCATTTTTGTTCATATATACACGCACATACTTGAGTCATCAAAATAAACGGTTCTCAGTTTCGTCGTATACATTCTAGAATGAGAAATAATCACCCACTACTGACTTTTAACAGGATTATGTTGGTTTGATTAGATGTAGGAATAAAAAACAAAGCCAGTTTTCTATTAAGTAATCCGATCATGAATTCTGCAGCAGTCCATAGAGTAACAATTACAAACCAAACTTATTTGAATAACAGACAGTTATATCAAAATGACAAACGATGAGAACCATTAAGCATTTATCAACAGTTACATCTTGATTTCTCATACTTTTCCATTCAATCCTCAAGTAAATGAAAGTATATATTTTGATGGATCCTTAATAAGATTTTGTAATTTTAAGCATCCATTGCAATTTCCTATTTTGTATTGGTGGATTCTAATGACATTCATGCGATTTATTTATTCTGAAATTCGCGTTTATGTTGCTAACTGGTTTTTCAACTGCCTTTCTTCATTACAGTTATGTGACCCACGAAACCAAACATTTCATTTACTTTTACCTTGGCGATAACGCATTTCTTCTCTTCAAGTCTGGTTAATTTGGAGAAAGTGAAGATAACAAGAGAAAGACCGACAGAAACTAACATTAACATTGTAACACACATCTGATCACTCTGCACTCAACGTAACTCAATTAATTTCACAAACACAATTTTCTGTAGTAGTAATCATCAATTTCCGACTTCATCTTTCTAACAATAAACACAAAATAATATACAGTTTGAATGAAAACCAAAAAACAGAACAGAACAAATATTAGTATAACTGAGATTGTGTTTCCAGATTGCCTTTTGTACTGGTTGATCTATTATCATATTATTGTCAGTGTGTGCTTTTGTGTGTGATAATTTTGTCTGTGGTGATGTTTCAAAATCGAAAATGAAGCATCTTCATTACTAGTAAACAATTGAAATAAACAGTTATTCGTACAGAAGACCAAGAGTGTTTTCTCTTTATACCTCGTCATATAGGTGTGTTTCAGGATGGGTAATATCATTTTCATTTCTAGTTGCTAGTGAATATATGTAGTAGGAAACACTTATCGAAACATAAAGTTGATATTTAATATTAGGTAATTTTCGAATCGTATTTAGTGTGCAGTCACTGTAGCAAGGATCATGATAGATTAAGTTTATGTAGTTTCGCGAATACGTGAATAGATCTCGTTCAAAATGTATGCTCCTTATGATCCATTAAACTGTGTATCGTATAATCAATTGTTAGCAGACACACCATCAGGCAACAATGCATCTCGATTCGTTCCTATACATGAAGGGGGATACCTACATATGCATAATTCCCTTGTTAAATTAGTCAATTCGGCTACACATTATGTCTGATTGTAAATCAATATACTCACCAAAATACTTGTTGCTTGTCTTCTCTATACGTATTCGTTAGGATCATATAGAAAAGAGAATGGTCAACTAGTCTAGTTCTGACTTTCCCAAATTGGAGGAGAACAGTTCAAGTGTTCGATTTTCGTAAACCAACTGTACTCGTCATACTTACAAAACAAAACACTATCGAATATTCGTTTCAAAACGTGATAAACGCGATAGACAAGAAAGTATGTGTGAATTACTTTGATTTGTTAAGGAATCGAAGTTCATCTTCCACTGATACTCTAAAAATTTTTTCCTTATAATCTAAGTATAGTAAGAGAAACTGAGATGAAGCAACACATTTCACTCCATAAAATGTTCGTCAAAATAGATTTCAAAATTACTTTAGTCTACAAATTTCACATGGTGACTCATGATGGAAGTGTTTCTTAAAACGTATGTAAATGACAAGTGAATTCCTGAATATTGATGTCTCTTTCATCACACATCATGACTAATTGGTGAAATGAGTGTCTGACAAAGTTCAATAATTGTCGAAGGTGTGTTGTGTTTTGCTGTGTAGATAATTCTCATTAGAATTTGTTTAATTATTACTTCTCATATGAGAACTATGATCACAAACGAGCACATCGTTACTCATATAGTGATTATGAACAAACAATTCTGTTGTTCAGAATAGGTAGATTGTGGCTTGTGGTGGAATATAGTGTGAGCGTTTCATCCTATCTACGACATGTCGGCTAGATGTACCGATGTATCGAAATTGAGTCTTGATTATCAAAAATGTGGTAACTCAAACCGTTATTCATATTTGAACAGCGGCTAGCTGTGGCATCCAGGTCACTCATATAGGTTTATTTGACACTTATAAGCTAGATTTTTCATCATCCCTCTTCGATGCTTGTATCAAGACAATCTGCTAAAATACACAGATTTAAAAAGAGGTTGTTTAGTTACATTCCTTACTGACGATAAGCAAGATATTCAACTCTTTGAAACTGAATACTACTCGTTATAATCATTCTGTCATTCAATTTCTATATTAATATTCTAATGAGTTTAGTCAGTAAAGTATTTTATATTTAATCTATAAATAAAGTTACTGATGTCTCAATATCATTCCTTTCTTGGCAAATTCCTAAACAAATTCACCATATGAACAAAATAATAAACAAACTCTTCCATTTCTACTATATTTAAACTAAAATATTTGTGTAGCACACACATCCATTGTAAATAAATTGGATACATTTACTAAACAATTTTGTTCTAAATTATTTTAAATCTCAAGAGAATTTCATTATCACTATCTTCTCCAACTTATGAGAATGAGCGTTAATTAACGATTCAAATGGTCTAATCTCGTCAATACTAAAAACTAACAAAATTAGTTAGCTGGTTGGCATTTGTTGAACTAACCAGTAGTCGACCATACGCATTTCAGTGTTGTAGTGAGAGTGCTTTAATAGCACATGGTACACTGATAATGTCACCTGATATTCCTATATTGACAATGATAAAGTTAAAAATAATCGCTTTTGAATATATGACAGTCTTGTCATGTTAGCATTTGTTGGCTCGAGGTAACACTATGGATGAATCTGAGAGATCTTGGAAATTACTGAACTGATTCATTGGAAGTGGTTGATCAGATTGAACACCATTGTGCGATTGCGGTACAGTTGTCAGAATTTTTAAAATCAGAACTGAACAGTCAATGTCTTATTTTTTCATTGTTCACGTTTTCTACTACATCGTCAGTGTTGCATGATGCTTAATGTACTTTGATTTTATTTTGATTAAAATTGAACTATAAGGTGATGTATTTGTAATGTCCCAATGAGTGAAAAACTGAACTTGCGACATTTCACAAATTAATGTATGTTATCTCGTCAATAAGGAGTTCAATGATTTAATCGAATCAAACCGAGTTTCATTCTCTGAATGCGATTGATTCACCAAGAACTAAAAGATGGCGGATTCTGTAATTAGTCCTTTCGACATACTGAATTTTCTGATTGAATGCAAAAAATAGTTTATTAGATATTTTGAAGCTGAAGATTACATGTAGCTTGAGTCTCGTCATTTACAAAGGATCGAGGTCGAGTATATTCCAATTGGACTTACAATCGGAGGTACAGTCATTTTCATGTATGTGAAGTGCATATAACATATGAACGCATACGACATTCATTCATCCTATATTCGAACACTACCAAGAATAAGTGTGCAGTATTTCAGGAGTGGTCGAAAGCGTACTTTGCAAATTGAAATACATGATTCACTGTTACGAAATATTTGATTCGGAAAACCTTGAGACATGAAGGTCTGTTTCGAGACCTGTTGTGTGAAAGATAAATTATAAGAATACATGAGACTAAAGTTCACTGTAGTACGTGCTTTCGATAAAAATACCACCATTTATAGAAAGATATAAATTGAGAAATTATCAATAAAGCATATCCACCAGATCCACCACAATCTGCTCAGAATGAACATGCGGTGAATGAGAATAACCCACTGTAATACTCAACTCCAACAATAGGACAACACAAACCACTCCAAATAAAATCAAACTAACATCCATTTCTTTTCACTTATGACGTGTCAGATTGCTATCAACGTCTCATAACCAAATAACACAATGTTTTTCTCCATGTTCTTTGTTCAAACGTGCGCAAAGCATTCCTTGAAATACATAGCTTGAAAGCGATGTACTTCATAAAACCTATACATATGATTACTATGAAAAATGTTAACAAATACATCACATTAGATATGTTGTAATCTAAATAGATGTTTTTATGCACTGTTAGATGACCTATGCATAAAAGTGTAAAACAAGGTGTAAAATATTCTTCACTTACTGAAACATACCAGAAATATTTTCGTATTGAGAAATATGATAATTTTATTTTGTCAAGAATTGTCTATTGAAATTTTCATGGATGAATATGAAGTGGTGATAAATGGAAAAGTGTCGATGTGTAGTGTGATGATGCACTAAAGAGATAATTCAAGTGAATTCTCAAACTGTTAGATTTCGAGGCGTGTAAACCATTTTCGTGTGAGATATTGCAAGTTGTTTTACAATTCATTACAAATGAAATACTATGTGGTGTTCAATAGTATCAGTATTATTCAACTTGATTGTATTTTTATAACACATTCACTCACTGTTAAAGCTCAATAAACTTAATAATCGTCACTGTACAAGTTTATAACAGATAAGTTTATCAAAACAAAACGGATGGCCTTATTAGTGAAAATTTTACAATAAAATAATAATAACAATAACAATCTCACTTCAAATATTTCCGTTGAACAATAGAATATAATTCATATACACTGACTCCATGATATATGTAAGCATGCGATGTGTTTGTGAAGTCATGAGAATGGATACTCAATCAAATTCAAAATGAAACAAAGCAACTTAACTCAAAGGAACAGTAATCATGATTTTTTAAAGAGTTTTTCTCACCTTTATTCAATCAATACAATTTATCTAATTTTTTTGTAAATAACGACTGAAGTAAGACAAGAAGAAACACACAGTTGATTGAAAATGTCTTTGTTGTTGAGACTAATTTCAGTAACGGATTATACTATAAACATGTATATATGGGCTCCATCGAACCAACTACACGTTGAATAAAATAGCTCTCAGTAATAATGATAATAGTTATATTCATAACAAACCGAAATGTATAGGAAACAAAAATGAGTGAGAAATTATGTGTAGAACATGTATGTGAAATAATTTTTGCATCTAAAATTTAATTTGTGTTAGCGTAGTGGAGAAAGTGAAGCGAGGTTTTTCGTCGAGGGTGAGTGAACTAACTCGAATTAATCAAGAATAACTCGATATTTATAGTCAGACAAAAGTATATAGGTAACAGACATACGATCATATGAAAATAGTCAGGACTATTAGGAGTAGTATTGGTGATTACTGGACACATGATGTATAGACGAGGATGCTGTTTATTGTTTATTAGAGATGATCACTGTTCATACATGCCTTGTGACCTTTTGGTTGCTGTAAAAGGACCGTCAATACGGGGTTCGAAATTTATTCGTCAGAGCAACTAAAACTTTAAGGAGTTTTTTCTCGAACTGCAGATACAAGCCAAAAAGTGTAGTTTTGCTGACGAATTTCAAGTTAAGCTGCATATGGTCGATGCCGCGGAGAGATAAAAAGCTTACGTACTGAACTTGAAGTAATGGATGATCTTGTACTTATTAAAAGACGAAGGATTCTTGAAGGTTTTGTAGAAGCGAAACATGAATGATTTGTGACGGAAATGAATATTTAGACAGTTCAGTATTTAGCAAGTGGTTCTGCTATTGTTACGTTTTTGAATTTCAATGGAAGCACCCTAGAATTAGTGGTAATTATCGAATAAGGATGAACTCCCGTTTTTTGAGGCAAACATGCACGATGGTGGAAGCTAAGTATGCATTTAATCAGCTTAATTGTTCTCAGGTATTCTCGAAAGTTGACCTGAAAAATGCTTATCTTCAAATTCCTTCAGGTCAATTTTCATTTGCTTTGACGACAACTAACAATTGTTCTATTCAAATACAAATTACTTTGATTTGGTTTAAGTTGTGCTCCAGCCATATTTCAGGAAGTTTTGAATAATGTAGTAAGTGATCTCATCAAGAGTGTGAGTGTTC